AGAGAACAGAGCCTCGTTTGGAGAGGTTCCCAACATGCGGTGTCGGGAATGTCGGACGTCGAACAGAACCTGGTTCAGTCGTCGACGGAAAGGTAAATGAGGCTTCAGTGCCACCATTCTTTCCTTGACGAGACGATGGAGTCGTTCCACCATGCCATTGGAACGTGGATAACGTGGGCTGGAGCGGATGTGACGAATGCCCAGCCGCTGCAAGAAGGTGGTCATCTGCTCCGACACAAACTGTGGCCCGTTATCCGAAACCAGTACAGACGGTAGACCGAATAGGGCAAACACTCACTGCGCCAATGTAGATGGGCAACACTACAACAATGCAAGTCTGGAGGTAGCCATTGCAGGCTTCGTCTTCAAGCTCTGCGAGTTCTCTACTGCAAGCATGCACGCATGCGCACACTATACATATGTATATGATTACATCACTACATGTTCACCAACGTCATGTCTGCATGCAGTGTACATTGGTCATCTGACAAGACCCAGCCTAGCCACAGCCATGTACACCACCAGAAGCAGCGAACCATGACCCAACCTGTTACATTTTACTGACGTACTCAAGTGCATACTCAAGTGCATTTGAGCTTGAGTGAAGAGCTAGCACTGAGCCTGAGTAGCCAGTGCTACGTACTGTACTGTACAGACCTATGCCTAGGATATGGGTTGTACTCCACCATCTCTCGACTCAAGGGCTAGTTACAGTCTACATGGGGGTGACTGCAGCCGGCCAAAATTTTCTCAGCCGGCTGAGCCGGCTTTGTAGATCACTGCATTTATAGCAGGGGTTTTGTACCATATTAGAGAAGTACAGCCAATGATATTGTCATGTCTAAATATTACAATTTTGACACAAATTAGACATAACACGAAGCTGGTTTTTGAAAATTGTAAGTCGTGTATCTGCCCCATTTCTTCTTTATGACTTGCACAATACACCAGTCTTCCTAAACAACACATTTCTAGCAGGGGTTAAGTACCATACAAGAGAGCTACATTGTACATCTAGTCATACTGTCATAAACAGCCAGCATTTTTCCTGCAGCAGTCACACCACCATCATCATTATTTCCAGGGAAATCCTCTTACATTGTCAGCTCCTACGTCGTTAGATACAATGTAGGGGGCTGTAGGACCGGCTCGTCAAAAATAGAGAACCTGAACAAGCGTGCTCGGGATGTCTCAGCAATCGTAGTATGCTTGAGCACTCCTATAAAAACTTGATCAATGGCAAAATCGTTCCCCACAGAAAAATCATACTTTGCGGGTCTTGCGTTGCACGCTGGGAGGTGAAGTACAGAAGGCGAGTCGATCCGAGTATGACCTTTCGGACTGGACTGGACTGAACTATTCCAAAAATAACAACGAGGGGTCACGGGTGCGAGTCAACCCCTGTGACACGGATTTCTGTGCCGTGTCACCTCCCTAGTTTGAGTACGACTCCCTGGTGTGTATATATAAGTACATGTGCGTGTGTGCATATATTAGAGAGGTTCTGCTCCCACCAAACTCTGTGTCAACTGCAGTGAAGTTTGACACGGATTTTTCGTACGTTGCACCGGTTCTGCTGTACGTAGCATGCTCGAACACCCCGCCACATGCGCTCTGTACGCTCGGTTTTCACACAGAGTCCAGTCCGTGTGAAGCGCGCTTCACACGGAAAACGGTATGAAAAAATCCGTATGAAACTTGATCCCGTACCGCGGCGAGGTTTCCATACGTACTTTGGCACGTTTTACCGTGTGGCAGAACCTCACTAATATATGTGTCTGTGTGTGCATGTGTGTGCATGTGCGTTTGTGTGTGTGTGTGTGTCCGTGTGTATGTACACGCGCACACTATTCCCTACAGGCGAGCAAGGCCGGCGGTCGACATCACCGTCGCACATCGCAGCGAGATGGTGATGTTGTAGCTCGTCGTGACCATCATGATACACACCCCAGCACAGGCACACAGCAACAACCTGTACATCAGCCATCGGCGAGCCCAGCCCATCATCAGCATCATCAGCAACGTGTCAAGACAGAAGAGGAGCAGTCACAGCCGCAGCACACGCACGTTCATCGTGACAATACGGCCGTCAAGGCGTTGTCGTCTCGTCTGGACTCGTGTCTCCAGGTACAGTTTAGCTGCCCCTGTAGTGGCATCCACGACGTGTGACCACACACCCGCACACCTGAACTCCCAGTATTCTGTGTGTGTTTGTACCTGCGACCGCCACACTAAATACGAAATAGTTTCAGGTTTGTATCCTTATCGGGAACCCACGTGAACAAGAAACTATGCACCGAGAAGGTGTTTCCCCTATCATTCCAGGCTGGCTTAATGTAAATGGAAATTGATCTGGTGTGAGACAATACACTGTATTGTCCCAATCTGAGTTTTCATTTCCTCCCTTGGAACATGTTTGGTTTCTCTGAAGCACCACTGGTTTCGTAGAGTTTCGTTCAGCAGTTACAATGTATCTCGGATTTTCGGGCAGTTCTCCATCCTCTATGCTTTGCACTTTTCTTCCATTTCTCTAATACTCTCTGTCTGTCTGTTTGTCTGGTCTCTTTGCCTGGCTGTCTGTCCATCCGTCTATCGGTACGCTCGTCTGTCTGTCTGCCTCTCCCCTTCTCCGTTTCTCTCTCGGCAGGAGCTGCAGCAGCTCCATACCAATTTCTCTGCGCTGAGAGATCTGGACTCTGCCGGACCGGCGTCGACTACCACAGCATCTGCTATGACGGCGCCTCCACCCAGCAGATCTCAGCCGACAACAACTCACCCTGTCCCCACAGCGGCACCTTCACACAGCACTGCTCCGAGTACGAGTGCACAACCTACTGCAGCCGCAAGCCATCGGCCTCCACGTGCCCATCCGTCCTCTGGTCCTCATCGAACGGACGGAAGTAGAGATGTAGTGTGGTCTGCCGGTACAGCGCAACAGTCGACTCCCGTCCATTCTACCACACATCATGCAGGTGGTGTTGGAACCACACAGCGCTCACTGCAGGCTCAAGTGCCGTCAGCACAGGCACAGTCATCAGCGTTTGCTGCCCATCATCCCGCCGCTCTACCCCCGGCTCTGCCCGCGCTGAACCGGATCACGGAAGAGTTCATCCGCTCCATGCAGCAGCAGCAGCAGCCATCACAGGATGTGCTACCAGGCGACCACAGCACAAATAAGGTACAGTGTACGCATACTAGGTGTGTCATATGGCACTGCACATTCATATGTAACCTACTTCCAGTCAACTTCGCTATTAACGACTCGGATATAACGACAATTCGCAAATAACGACAGAATTTCCATGCACAGAGCAAAGTCCATTCTACCTGTATACACATAATGAGACTTCGGGTATAACGGCACTTCGCGCAATAAGGACACTTTTCTGATGCCCTGCCGAGTGTCGTTATACGCAAAGTTGACTGTACTAGGTGTATCATGCGGCACTGCACATTGAGAGCTGAAAAAGCAAATTTTGCCAGACTCCACTGGGAATGGGGGGGGGGGGGGCAAAAAGGTCATTCTCTACTCAAAGCATAAATTTTGTAAAACATGTGGCATTTATAGCCTTTGCATCCAAGTGTCTCTTTATATGGCTTTCCTTTCCTCGCGTGTATGTGGTCTGCGCTGTGTGAGGCGAGTAATCACCCTACTAATATGTGCTTCGTACACATGTTGCCTGTCTTATCCTCTCTTGCACCTAGTCCACGGCTGATCGAGTGCTCCGGGATATTCAAGAGCGCAGGGCACGGCTGGACCGCGGACACTTGCAGCACGGCGGAAAGGACGGCACTCAAAGTTTCCAACTGCCACCGGACCTTGTGCAGCTGTATGCGAGAATCGATCAGCTAGCTCAAGAGTAAGGAAATTTGTATTCGCGAGTGTCCAATCTTTAGTAGTAGTAGTATTGACATATCCGCGGCAAGCCGCTTATGTACAACGGCATGGGAGAGGATAACAAAAAATGAAAATATATTGTTGGGAAATCCACGCTATTATCGAATATTCAACAATGATGGGTGTGGGGTTATACCAAATTCCCATAATGTGGAAGTACGTTATTGTTGAAAGCACTAGGTGATCTGCACTCTACAATGTGACCTGTGCGATTATATCGTTGAATGATTGCCTGTTCCGAGCCACCAAACGCAGTGTCTCCTGGTCCTTCAGACTCCGGAGACGCATGGACGTTGCCTTGGCTAATTCGTTGTCTATCACCACTGGTAGGGTGATGCGCGGGCGTCCGAGCCAGCCCCGATTCTGTCGCTGGAAATACGCTGTCATGCTCACCTGCGCTGGAGTTGCTTCAGGGAGGCGTAGAATATGACCAAACAGTTTCCACTGTGCTCTTCTGCTTAGTACGGATATTGGCTCGGCATTGCAGCGGGTATATAGGTCTGTGTTGGAGATAATTTCCGGGTAAGATATCCCTAATAGACGGCGGAGCTGCTTTCTGTGGAACGCATCCATTGCTGTAGCATCCCGGGATGAAAGCACCCACACGCCACAGTTGTAGGTCAAAATAGATAGCACAAATGCATCAAACAACCTCAGGCGGGTTGCTTCAGAGATGACTTGTCTCCGCATCCACAGGTTGACAAGTGTGTTGAAGGCAGCTGCGGCTTGCTGGCGCCGGCGCTTGAGGTCTTCTGTGACTCCGTACAGTGAACCAAGCAACCGGGTGGACCTCCATCGTTCCTCACCTCTTCTTGCAACATCCTCTTCTTGGTATAGATGGGTCCACTCGGTCTTGGTAGGGTTGATGTTGAGGTTCCACTCTTTGAACACTACCTCTGCCTCTGTTAGTGCGCACGCTAGATGTTGACGGTCCGTGGAGTACAGGTTAACGTCGTCCATGTATGCTGTTTCGCAAGGTATGGACATATCGACAGTCGTGTAGGTTGTCCCTCCAATATTCAGTATGGCAGGTCTTGGCGATATCCTGGGACGCAGGCAACGCATTGTCGCTTCGAGATAACAGGTGAATAGCACCGGCGACAAACTATCTCCTTGTGGGATGCCTATTGATGTTGGAAATTCTGCCGAGAGCGCATTCTTTATCTTCACTCTTAGCCTTGTGTTGTGCAACAACATCTCCACCATTCGTACCTCATCTGTGTTAACTATTTGTTTCATTACCTCCACCAATCTTCCCCGCTGCACTGTGTCGAACGCCTTGCTCATATCCATTCCGAGGACCGTACATTGCCACTTGAAACGTTCAGCCTTGGCTGCCAGCCACCGGCCACACCAGACAATATCCGCGGTACTCCGACCCGGACGGGAAGCGCTCTGGGTTGGAGATAACTGTTAGGTAGGAGTCAATCTTTGGCATAATCCTGCGAAGTGTGATTGTTGACAGGAATTTGCGTATAGAGTTCAAGAGTATTATTGGCCTGATACTGGTTAGCGGCCCTCTGGGTTTCCCTGGTTTTGGGAGCGGGATTAGTGTTCCACATTGTAGTGGAACCCACGTTCGACCAGCCAGCACTAACGCAACACTTCGGATTAGGGAATGAATTATTTACAAGAGAATTGGAAGAGACATAGAAGTTAGAAGTAAGTTATCAGAACCAGACTGAAGCACACTGAACTAAAGGATCGACTCAACTACTGAAGTACAGAAAGACGGGCATGCAATCTGAGAAAGGAGTGCAGCTACGCACGTGGCTAGACACATGCACAGCATGAGAGGTGTACACATAAAGCAGAGGCGCGCGCATATGGGTGAGCGTGTACACAGCATGCATAGCAACATACAGTGTGACACAAGAGTCATAAGGCACCTAATATAGCAGTTCATAACACCACTCCCCTAGGTGCCATTGATCATCCACTGTATCTAGCTGGCTGTCGTCGATTACCAGGGCCTCGGAGGTCGTAGCGCTGAGTCGGCATGTCAGCCGCAAACTCGATGCTCACCACATTATCACAGGCAGCTGGCTCTGGGCGATCTTCGGCAGCATCATGGTTACCATCATCTAGTGTTCCATCTACCTGCTGGGCGTGTCCAGGCTTCACGATATCAACGTTCACGACCTTCTCTCTGCCGTCAGCATGCTGGATCACCAGGGTCGATGGCGAGACTATCTTCAGCACCGTCCAGCCACTCTCATATGGCGTCATGAGCTTCTGACTCCGCTCTGGGCGACGTAGCATCACCGGATCATCGACACGGTATGGTGACTCTGTTGGACCGCCTGACACAGAGTCATTCGAGGACAGTAGCGACTCAACAAGGTCTCGAATTCGAGCAGCGCGCCCGGCGAGTCGGTCTACCCATTCACTGGCGCTGTATGCTGTCGGGTTGTGATCAATTACTAGATCGCGCCCTTCCCAGCCCGTGATGGCCAGCCTTGGCGATATTCCGGTTGTAGCATGGCGACGTCCATTGTAGTAGAACAGAACCAACTCCAGCTCAGACGTCCAGTCACTGGTTTTCTCGAGCGCCTTACGCAGGAGACCGATGATTGTACGGTTGAGCCGTTCAACCCCTCCTTGTGATTGAGGATGTCGAACTGCACCCGTTTTCACCACCACACCAAACTGTTCCAGGAGGGCTGCTACGACCGCGTTCCGGAACTCAGTGCCGTTGTCCATGCGAATGACAGACGGCGGGCCCCACCGGCAGCAGATCTTGGTCAGTGCGGCTGCTACGCTCGCTGCATCGTGTCGACGTAGTGGCTGTACCTCCGCCCACTTGGTGAACATGTCGACGCATACCAGGCAGCAGTGGTGCGCTCCACTCTGGCCAAGCTCCAACGTGTCGATCTGTATGACCTCCCATGGTCGTCCTGGTACGTCTGGACGCGTTGGCTCAACAGTCGGTCCCCGTGCCGGGTTAGCTGCAGAGCAAGGCACACACGCTTGGACAACACTCTGGCATTTCTCGGCCATCAGCGGCATATAGCAGCGCTTGCGCAGTGAGTCATGCATTGTCGTCCAGGTGGCATGGCCAGAGGTCTTGTGAGATGCTTTCAGTACTTGGTCTTCAAGCTCAGGTGGTATGACTGGCACTTGCACGACACCGTCGAGTGGCAGCTTTACTGAACGCATCAGCACACCGTCATGGTCCAACAGCTGATCACGGACCGGTCTGTACAGCTTCGACGACAGGGGGGTTCCCGACTTCAGCTCATCCAGCAGCTGTGATATCTCGGTATCGGCTTGCTGCGCATCCTTTATCTCACTGAGAGTAACGGGCCCGATAGCATGCTTGTGCGTTGCCACAGAAACAGAACAAACATCACTCGGCTCGGCTGTACCCTTGGGCCACCGCCTCGGGACACGGGTGAGCTCATCGGCCGGGTTCTGGTCAGTCGGCACCCACTCCACTCGGACCTTGAGGCCGACCGTTTGGACGAGGTCAGCAATCACTTCCAGTCGCCGCTCAACCAGTATCTTGTGCAGCCCACCAACTTTCACTCGGCGCACATTGTCGAGGACCTGCTTCAGCCAGCCGTACACTGTCTTTGAGTCGGTGACGAGTCGTACCGTCTGCAGGTGCCATTGCGCTGCAAGCGACAGTCCACGCACCGCAGCATCTAGCTCCGCCACATTGATGTGCTTCTTATCGGCTGTGTCCCGCAGCCATGTACCGTCTTCGATGACTTGGCCGTTCAGCTGGAGGACCACACCGACTGCCAGATCCGAGGCATCGCAGAACACAGCCCAATCTCCATCGGACTCGGCTGATGCATGCCACACACCACGGACGGGGTCTTGAGCGGACAGCTGCTCAGCAACTTCATCAGCACACTGAAGAACGCTAGGTGGAACCGGCGTGTCCCATCTGTCCACTGCACTTGATAGCCGCTTCAACATTGAGCAGGCTGGGCGAAGCCATGCGCACACTGGATAGTGGCTTGTGAGCCGACCTGTCCATTGGAATACACCACGCTTCGTCAGCGGTTGGCGGAAGCTGAGGTCGACTCCATCGCGGCGAGCCCACATGATGGTACCATCAGCAGTCGTCGATAGCTTCAGGCCAAGCACTCGCGCCTCGGGTAGATGCTCTGGTGGCTTTGTCGGCAAGCCATACCGTGCTAGCTCTGCAGCGACGGCCTTGCGCTTCTCCGCTGGCGTGAGGACGTCATCAACGTAGTTGTCCACATCAGGCCATCGTCGCGTCACCCACCGAACAATGATGTCCATGAATTTTGGTGCAATCGATAGACCAAAACCCATCCGTGACATGGCGTACAGCTTCCCACGCCACACCACGACTTGGTAGCGCAAGAGGGATGGGTCGACTCGTACCTGCAAGTACGCCTTACGTATGTCGACAAGTTCAAACTGGCTGTCTGCAACCTGTCGCCACTTGCGGATCTTCTCACCGCATGCTGGGGCATCAGTGCCTGGGTTCGACTTAATCACCGCATTCAAGCCACGGTAATCAAGACAAGGACGAACTGGGGTCGACTCCTTGTGGGCTTGGTCCTTGGCGAGCAGCGGAATGATGGCCGCCGGAGGACCGTACGTAGCCTCGTCGTACTCGATCAGGTAGCCATTCTCGACCCAGGCGTCCATCTCGTCACAGAACTGCGACTCTTGCTTGTCTGACAGGTTGTGCCTCGCGTACTGTCCGATCCCTGAGCCGATCGGAGATGTAGGAGCTTGCCCATCACGCCACTGCCAGTGCAACGTCCAATGCTGCGTGTCGTTGTCCCACCGGAGCTCTCCGTCTTCGGCCTTCAGGGTCACACCACGATCGTCCTCTGTGACGTCCACATGACGGAGTGTGCTCTCAACGTCAGCTGCAGCAGTAGCGGCTGCACCGGTATCTCTAGGCTGAGGACCAAAGCACACGCCATTGACCTCGCCGTCCTGGCCATAACTGAGTCGAACGCCACCAACACCAGCTATAACGTCAGCACCGAGGAGGAGGTCTGCTGCCACAGCCGTCAATGAGTCGACAACGCAGGCATTCACACGCACTCTTGGCAGACTAACCGGTTCACCATCTCCTTGGCGCTGCAGTTCCAGATCAACTGCTCCTCTGATCTTCACCTTGCTACTATCCACGGATACAACAGACACACGTGGCTGAGCAGTGAACGGAATCTTGTGAAGTTTGAGGAACTCGACCGTAACCATTGTGTAACTTGCACAAGTGTCCACTGCTGCTCTAGCACGTGCCCATTCGCTGCCTACCACGCCTCGCACGTCAACGTAGATTCTGGGCAGTGAAGCTCTAGTAGCCTCGGCTACAGTGCACAAACACGCACCCCTCGCCAGGGAGCCACTGTCTGCAGCCGTTGCTGCTCCAGACGATTTCCGCTCTTGCCAGGCTTTACGCTCCGGACAGTCACTCTTCATGTGACCTGGCTTGTCACAGAAGTAACAGGTTCGAGGGCCAGTACGCTCGCCGCGCGTTCCTTTACCAGCACCACTCTTGCGACCAGATTTCTTCGCTTTCGGGCACTGCCGCGCCATGTGGCCAACTCCGCCACAGTTGAAACACGCCTGCTCATCCGTGGTGGCAGCTGCCACAACAACATCGCCACGCACTCGTGTCAAGTGGTCCGAGGTCGCAGCCTTCAACGCCCGTACCACGTCCAGGCAACCCGTCACACTCAACTCTCTGCCCGCCATCGTAAGTCTTAGCTCTCGGGCAAACTCTACCGGCAGTCCCTTGATCAGCTGCTCTATGATCATCGGGTCCTTGTCGTCATCAGCCTTGTGCCCCGCCATAGTACTCAGTCGCTGCAAATCGGCAACGTAGGCGTCGGGAGACTCATCCACGCGCATCGTCCGTGAGGTGAATCTGGCGTACGCCTGCGCCTTCGTCAGAGTGAACGACAGTCCCATTTTCGCCAAGACTTTATCTTTGTCTTTCTGATCGCTTGCCGGCATCCGTGAAAATACAAGAAACGCGTCATCCGTCAGGAACAACGGAAAATTCTTCACTTTCTTGTCGTCCGTGTCCCAACCTTGTATGTTTGCAAGCACCAGAAACTTATCCCAAAAACGTCCGAAATCGTCCCCGTTCCCACGGAACGGCTGGAGGAAGTTGTCAAACTTGAGCGACATCTCGCTGGCGTGGCAGGGTTTGCACTCGTCAATACAACACACACGTCCCGGGTTTCGGCACCAGTTGTAGTGGAACCCACGTTCGACCAGCCAGCACTAACGCAACACTTCGGATTAGGGAATGAATTATTTACAAGAGAATTGGAAGAGACATAGAAGTTAGAAGTAAGTTATCAGAACCAGACTGAAGCACACTGAACTAAAGGATCGACTCAACTACTGAAGTACAGAAAGACGGGCATGCAATCTGAGAAAGGAGTGCAGCTACGCACGTGGCTAGACACATGCACAGCATGAGAGGTGTACACATAAAGCAGAGGCGCGCGCATATGGGTGAGCGTGTACACAGCATGCATAGCAACATACAGTGTGACACAAGAGTCATAAGGCACCTAATATAGCAGTTCATAACAACATCCAAGATCCATTCCAATGCCATCCGCAAAACATTGGTTTAGAATGGCAGCGATCTCATGTGCGACCCTCTCACCAGCATGCTTGAACAGGTCCCCGGGGATGCCATCCGGCCCAGCTGCCCTCTGCGATTTGAGTAATCTAATTGCCAGGGCAACCTCCGCAGCGCTGATCCTATCTTCAAGATACTTCGAGCCCAGCGGTCTCAGAATATCATTTACTGCAGATGGATCCCGAAACCGCTGCCTGAAGTGGTCAGCTACCTTCTCTGCCGCTTCTTTATCGTTGGCGATTATCCGTCCAAGAGCGTCATGAACAACCAATGGCGCGGGAGACTGCCGCCGCAGCAAAGAGGCTGCTTGAAAGACCCTTGCATTGTTTTTCAGCTTCTCTACTTCTTGAGCGAAGGAGTCCAGGCGGGCTTCAGAGTTGTTCCGGGCGATATCTCGTATCTGGTGTAATATCTGATTCCGATCGCGTTTCAGTGATTTCCTCCCGTCTGGGCATTTTGTCGAGTCGATTTTTACCCGAAATTCTTTTTGTTGTGCTGATAGAAGGGCTATGCCAGGATCATGGGCTTTTCGGCTACATTCGGCTCTCTTTTTATATCCAACTGTTTTTGTTGCAGCCGACTCCAGTGCATCCCTCACACCTCCGAAACGTGCCTCAGCTGAAACAGTTCCCTGCTGCGTTTGTTGCGTTGCCAGTGCTTTGTCTACCTCCTCCTGGAATTGACTACAGACCTGGGGGTTCTGAGTGAACATCGAGGTGTTGAAGCTACGCTTAGTTGTCTGGTTTCCCTTCCGCCAGATTGGAAATAACGCACGAAGCTGCAGTGTGGCAATGACTATTCTGTGGTCCGTTGGTGTCTCGCAGCCTGCATAGCTACGTGCATTACACAGCAGTGGCTTGTGTTGCGTACGGCAAAGAACAAAATCGATCTGGTTGTAGACAGGTTGTGGGCCAACTTCTCCACTCCCAGGTCGCCGCCAACCCGTCCATGTAGTGCAGTGGCTCTGGCGGTGTTGAAAAGCTGTATTGGCCAAGAAGGCATCATTTTCAATTGACCATTCCAACATGTGTTGTCCAATCTTTGCCAGAACAAAAGCAAACCCCGTCTTTGGCTAACAACCACGACTCAAACTGGGCTGATACAGTCAGACCTCGCTTAACCGCACACATCCGTTTTCAACAAAAAAATATCCGGATAGGCGAGGGAACCGGATAATCGAACACATATACTGTATGTATGCATGGCATATGCTGTAAATCGGTAACCAACGATTTTCTTCCGGATGGCGAGGGATCCGGATAAAAGAGGTTTGACTGTGTCCGTATACTATACAGTGGCTAACAACCACGCCTCAAACTGGGCTGATATCCGTATACTGTATTTTTCCGGTTGTAAGTCGACCTTTTACGACTTAAAATAGACGGAGAAAGGGTGGGGGTCGACTTACAACCGGGATTCGACTTATAACCAGGAACTATCAGTATCTTACAAAAAATGACCTGCGCTGCATGCACGAGTGCACCATGTGTACACATTGTTGCCAGTTTATTGGCATTTTTCCAAGGATTGGGACGTTATACCCTCCGATAGGGAATGTTTACATGATTTGTTGATGTGTTAGTACCAGGAGGTGGTTAGTAGCTAGTGCTTCTTTGGGTGAACACTTAAAACGCAGAATTGAGACCTCCAGATACGGGGGTCGACCTATAACCGGGGTCGACTTACAACCGGGGTCGACTTACAACCGGTAAAATACGGTACTTTACAGCACTACAGTACATCCAGTGCTGTGGTGCTGTAGTAGAGATGTAACGGCTGTAGTAGAGATGTAACGGCTATTCAGTTTTACACTGATGATGGGCCAGGCCGAGTTTCACTGCCGAGTCTCACTGCCGAGTTTCACTGCCGAGTTTCACTGCCGAGTTTCACTGCCGAGTTTCACTGCCGAGTTTCACTGCCGAGTTTCACGGCCGAGTTTCACTGCCGAGTTTCACTGCCGAGTTTCACTGCCGAGTTTCACTGCCGAGTTTCACTGCCGAGTTTCACTGCCGAGTTTCACTGCCGAGTTTCACTGCCGAGTTTCACTGCCGAGTTTCACTGCCGAGTTTCACTGCCGAGTTTCACTGCCGAGTTTCACTGCCGAGTTTCACTGCCGAGTTTCACTGCCGAGTTTCACAACTTGGTAAGGAACATCAGACAACAACAAGTATTGGGTCAGCTAGGCATTGCCCTTAACGGCCTTGGACACATAATCTGATCAGCCAGGGGCGTCGGACACGCTACGATCACTTCAGTATTGACCGTACCACTCTTTGCCCCATGTACCCTGTGGATCAATAAAAAGCACTGACTTGGAGCTGGGGTCTAAATTCCGAAATTTGTGAGAGGAGCCACCCCAATCCTACGAGTAAATTGCACGTTAGGTGGCTGACCGTACCACGCTAAAATACCCTCCGACGCCCCTGTCAGCAGTACATTCGGGGAAACACGCTTGAAAACCCATTTCATCCTAATTCCACTTTGAGCGCTACCGTTTGTTAGCAAACAAGCTATGTTAGTAAGATAAAGGAAGTCGTCCTGGGATTACACCATTCAACATAGTGCAAGGCTGATGAATTGACCGCCACTGATTTCAGCCTGGTCTACACCACACAGCTGATTGAAGTGACTTTTTCTGGCCAGTGAATCCCTGTTTTTGATTTTCATCATTTTCCTTGCAGGCCATCAGCTGACAGCTCTGCCCTGGCAGTTCAGCGCGAGATTGACGACTGTATTGCCATGGCAACAAAAGATCTTCAGGTAGGAGTTGTGGTATTGGCATTGTGATATGCCCCACTGGGCAGCCATTGCTACTATGCCGTTCAAATAATAATAAAATTTTCGAAGCTGTGACATTACTATTTAATAGTAATGTCACAGCTTCGCGTACTGACTTGGTGTGCTATTGTATGCACATGCAGCAGGCAAGTGTTCCGCTTTTGTTCTCTTCCGATGCTTAGGTATACATTCTATAGTAAGTAGTCTTCTATTATCATGTGTACTGATGATGTCGTTCAAATATGCATGCTAAATTCTTGATCTTTAATTGAGAATAAAAAGGACCAAGGAACTACAAGTTCTGCTATAATTTCCACTAACACCACCAGTCACTAAACAATCGGCTCATGCGGTAACATTACATGACACTGACCGACGCTACTGACGTTCTACAACTAACTGGCTAACAGCTCTAGCACATCTTGGATGCGCACTCCAACAGCCTTCCCACTTGGAAGGTTCCATCCGAGTCCATTCATTCGAATATGCATACTAAATTTTTGATCTTTAATAGAGAGTACATGCATGGCTTTGCGGTAAGAGACGACGAGGTAGAAATACAAATACCTACACATGTACATTGTACCGTATTTTCCCGAATATGTCGACTTCGAATATAAGTCGACCACCCCAAATCCAGGAGTCAATTTCATGAAACAAGTTTTTCTAGCTCCATGACACCCACACATACAAAATGATGAATTCTCTGCGAGGAGTGATCATAATTATCATGCCAGTAAGACAACATCTGAAGAAAACCAGTGTCATCCAATGTTCAATTCATTCAATGTTAACTGCCACTGTGGTTCGTAGATCTACGGTAGTGCATTTTGTACGGACACTCCAGTCACTTCATTTGTTGTGCCAGATTCCCGTATGTAAGTCGAGTTCCGTTTGTAAGTCGACCCCCAGCTTTTGGCGAAATTTCTGGCGCACGGAAGGTCGACTTATATTCGGGAAAATACGGTACATGTACGGGTGAAGTGAGGTGTAGTCAGTGTTAGTGACACAACCAGCCCGCCAACCCCTGACCAACAGACAGACCAACCACCAGCCAACCAACTAAACATCCAACCGAAAAACCAACCAAGCCACCAACCAACAAACTCACTGGCAACCGACCAATCAACCAACCGACCGACCGACTAACTGACCCAACAACCAAGCCACCACCCACCCAATCCACCAACAAACCAAATAGACCATCAACCTGTCCACCAACCAACCCACAAACCCGCCAACCAAACCACCCCGACCAACCGACCAACCCGCCAACCAAACCACCCCAACCAACCAACCCACCAACAAATCCTTAACCGCCACATCTTGTGGTAACAGTCATTAGATTTATGCCGCCGGAGAAACTGCCCGTCTTCAGCGACTAGTCATCCCTCACCCCGCATTAAGCTTTAAAAGACATTCACGCATACATGTAACAGAGCCCCCCTATGCAGAGAGACCACCTGGATTTAGAAGCCATCTGTCTTGGGAGACCCGGTGTGTTGATGATCACCTACTTCTGAAGTACGTAACTAGGTATAGAGTGATCACCTGTTTTGAAAGGCCCTGTGTTTATTAAAGATCACCTGCATGTGGAGAGGGGAACTTTTTTGAAAGACCCTGTGTTTAAAGGAAGATCACTGTCTTTAGCGTGGACCTGTTTTGAAAGACCTTGTGTATAAAGTTCACTTTGTTTGGTGTTAACCTGCTTTGAAAAACCTTGTGTTTAAACTTAATTAAAAGATAGATTTTGAACTCGGATGGTGAGCAAATATAGTTATGCTGAAGAAAGGAAAAGGACAAAATGTTACGTTGGTGGACAGTTTGTCATAACTCGTAACATTTTGTCCTTTTCCTTTCTTCATCATAAAAGATAGATCACTGTGTTTAGTGTGAGCCTGTCTTGAAAGACCCTGTATTGAAAGACCCTGTATTGAAAGACCCTGTATTGAAAGACCCTGTATTGAAAGACCCTGTATTGAAAGACCCTGTATTGAAAGACCCTGTATTGAAAGACCCTGTATTGAAAGACCCTGTATTGAAAGACCCTGTATTGAAAGACCCTGTATTGAAAGACCCTGTATTGAAAGACCCTGTATTGAAAGACCCTGTATTGAAAGACCCTGTATTGAAAGACCCTGTATTGAAAGACCCTGTGTTGAAAGACCCTGTGTTGAAAGACCCTGTATTGAAAGACCCTGTGTTGAAAGACCCTGTGTTGAAAGACCCTGTATTGAAAGACCCTGTATTGAAAGACCCTGTATTGAAAGACCCTGTGTTGAAAGAACCTGTGTTGAAAGACTACTGTGTTTAGCGTGGACCTGTCTTGAGTGGCCTTGTGTTAAAAGATCACTATGTTCAGCGTACACCTGTATTGAAAGGTCTGTTTTAGTGTACGGTGGGGTGGGTGCTAATAACAGGTTCGAGTCAACTACCATTTATTGTGACCTGCAGGCCAAGCCAGCCAAGCGACCACAGCAGCGACGGCAAGACCGATCGTTGCACGAGAACGAGGCACTGTCCAGCCAACCAGCACCAGTACAGCAACAGCAGTCACAATATCAGCAGCGCTCTACAGCTGCGACTACACGTTCAGCCACGCAGGCCCGTGGCAAGAACACGGGTCGCCAAACATCAGCTACAGAGAAGCTCAAATCAGCAGCAGCAGCAGAAAAGGCAGGAGGAAAAAGAACTTCTGGCCCCATGAAAGTGAGTTCTGTGCGTGCACGCTATTGTTGCTCCTGTTGTCGTCGCTGCTGCTTTTGATGATACTGCACATCAAGAAAATCATGTACACACTTTAAAAAAAAGTTATGGGCTCCACGCAACAGCATCATGGAGAAATATCGGTTTGTCGACTGGTAGCTGCTCTATTGAAAATTGTCACTGCACGGTCCATTTTTTAGTACAGACAGTATAGAGCTTGACACGTCTCAGTTCACCATGGCTGTTCAATTTTTGTAAACAAAGAAAATGTTATAAGTAAAGAGAACGACCAATAAGTTACTAGTTATGACTAACAGTCCACCAAGGTAACCAAGGTAACGCGATCTTATACCCTTCCCCTCATTCCCTTCTTATCTTCCCTTCCCCTCGTTGGAACCTTCCGCGCCTGAGCCTTCCAAGTTGGAAGGTTGTTGGTTTGCGTTTCGTAAATGTGTTGGAGTTAGGCGTCAGGTCGTTGAATATCTCAATACCCTTGTCAGTTTTGTGCCTTGTCGCACTATCTGACTGTATAAGATCGCGTTGCCTTGGTGGCCTGTCAGTCATAACTTGTAACTTATTGGTCCGTTCTCGTTACTTTAAATGTAAAGAAAATGTGTTCTGGTTACTTTTCACCCGGAATGTGCGTTTGTGTCTGCTTGGATCCAGGGCGGCTTTTTCCATGTGTGTTGATGGTTGTGTGTTTGTGCTGTTGGGATCCGTGTACGTGTGTGTATGCGTGTGCGTGTATGTGTTCGTGTATGTGTGCGTGTATGTGCGTGCATGCATCTAATTATGTGCGTGTACGTGTGTGTGTGTGCCGCGAACCCTGTATGTGTGTTTTGTGTGTTGCATGTGGCGACATGGGTGCTCTCATGCATGCCTTCAACACATTTGTGTATGCGTCCAGGGCAAGACCCAGAATCCGTCATCACTCCTGCTCAGAGGACAATCCACATCACGACAGAAACCCACCACATCAACCAGCACAAACTCGGCAAGGAAGCCAACCAGAAAGCAGCCATCGTCCACACAAGCCTCAATCAGGGAAAGATCAGAGCAACAACGTGTAGTCGAGTCACACACAGGTGCAACATCAGCAGCAGCACCATCGCACCGAGCCAAATCAACCACCGGGTCGGCAGGCAGGCAGGCCACGGCTACAGCACCGAGTACACAGACGGCTGCGGCTGAGGTTTCGGCGCCGAACCAAGCGTGCGTGCGCGACCCTCGTTTCACCGTGCCGTCCATATCCGAGCTAACACGACCCCCGCCACCACCGCCGCTGGAGCACGCTCACACTCGTTTTGAGGGGATTATACCGCTGGCCTCGCCCAGGCAGTATTCCCGCGTCGACACGGATGCCGCTGCTGCGCTTTCTAGCAGCCTGCCACGCCAAGTCACTGGCAATAGAGCTACTGACCTAGGAGATGAAAGAACCCTAGGGCAAGCACCAGCACCAGCACGGCATGCAGCGGTGCCTCAGCCTCCACGATCGTCCGCTCAGCCTTCTTTCGCCGGCCAGCAAGACCGGAATGCTGCGCCGGATGCAGGTAGAACTAGTGGACGCGCATCTCGCACTCCGCCCGCGAATACAGCAGACATCGGTGGCCATGTCCAGCGTGATGCTGCGCAAGCCAGTGGTGATCTTAGTGACTCAAGCGACAATACCACACCATTGCTCAGTACGGGAACATTGACCGATTCGTCGGCGGTGTCATCACTCGGCCAAACAGCACCACGGAACTCAGGGAACGCGGACGATGATATTGCGACCACGTCGGAGGGCGCGGTGACTTCTGGTGGTGACGATGATGGTGGTGGTGGTGGTGCGGATAGTTCGGGAAGTGCTACGCTAAGCGAACATGACAGTGATGTATGCCACGACCAAGCCAAGGCGCCTCGACCTCCGTTGCCGGTAAGCAAAGCATTGTAGTGTGTTGCTTACGCGTGTTTGCCGTAGTACTCCGCCTCCTATCGATGCTAACTCAGTCTGATTCGCAATACAGAAAAACTCCCCGGATCGCGGCCAGACGTCCCTAATCCGGGCAAGTCTGGCTACCAGCCACCTTTCTGACCCGTAGGCGTCTAGAGTCACAAACATGGCTTTTCAGCGAAAAAACGGTCCCAAAAACAATTGATTGGCGTAACAAATCTTCACCAGCATGCAGTAAGTATGCATGTTCTGCGTTACGGGCAATTCCTAGTTACGGGCAGTGCTCGGTCCCAACCTGCCCGGATAAGGGGAGTCTTACTGTATCAAATATCAGAAAACGTTTTTCTACGATGCTATGTGCGACTTTAGGAGCTGCATCTGCGCCTTGATCCTAGAGGGTGGTGGCGTTCCTGTGGATGCGGAAAACGCGGACCGTCAATTTTTTTTAATGTGCGACATGCGACACTTGCGACGAGGAAATACCTGTTGTGTACAGTTGCATGCAGTAGCAACTAGCAAGGCTGCTGTCGCAGAAGTCGAGCGTGGTGACGGTGGCGGTGTGTTGTGTCTGCTAGTGAAGAAAGTATGGCACTGGACGTATGAAGGCACAGGCACGTTCTGTAGGCATGCTCGGAGGAAATCTAGTCTCGGGGCTTATGGACACATGCACACACGTACATACGCATGCAAGCACGCACGCACCCCCCCCCCCCCCCCCCCCACACACACAAACACACCGATGATCCTAACTAATTATTTGCTTCCTTGTTACCTCTTGTATTCTTTCCTGGTGATTTCTTGGTGACTTTCTAGCCGGAGTGTTCTTAATTTGGTGACCAATTCATAAAATGTTACTATGAGAAATGTCCGCAGTTGCCTGGTACAGAGTCCAGGGTTTGAACTTTGAACCTTACATAAATAAATAGTCTGCTCAGAAAATGCTGCTCTATCATCATAATTATACGACTCGCAATGCAACCACAGCATTGTGCAACTCCTACAACTGCATGACTTGGCGTACTACTTGAAGTAGCTCCAATTGGCAGCTTTATGAAAGGACATTGGAAACAGAAAGGTGGCAGGCCGCTATCCAATAAAGTGGTCAATGCCCGAAGGCAGAGCTACAGTGAATACCTGTCTAAGACGACCACTGAAGGGACCTTCAAATTGTGCCCCCCCCCCCCCCCACGTGTTCAGGTCAGGGCCGCCGGAACCGGTCCGGTTGGTCCAACTCAGTCTGGCTCAGGTCATCCCCTGGGATTCGTCTAAAACCGGGGAGAAAAAATCATTTAATTAAGTCCAAAAGCTCCTTGGACGAAAAAGACGAAATTAAATTCCAGACGAGTATTTCTGCTAATACAGTATGTATAGGGATCATAGCAAGAGTAAGTAAGGTCCCAAGAGTGTGCAACTTAGGCCTCGACCAAATATGCTAAAAAAAGAGCATATTATGCTCGTCGCATATCAGGGAAAACGTCCATAATATGCCAAAGGCTATGCGAAAAAATATGCGAAAAGATATGCCAAAATTTGCCAAAATATGCTCGACATAAGCAGAAAGTGTAGATCATTTCAGTAAAATTACAACCTTGGAATATTCATTGGCTTCACTGCTATCATGCTTACGGTGCAAATCAAAACACATGCGGAATAGTATGGCTGGGGTATATGCTTGACCCTTGCCTACTTTAGCACATATACCGTATATTCTCTATTATAAGCGCCGTGCTTATATTTTTTCAACACCCCTCTACCCTGTGCTTATATTAGAGACCGCGCTTATATTGGAGACTAGGGGTGAAACAATTATACCGAATGCTCGAGTACTCGCTCGGTTTTTTCAGAAATAATCGTACTTGGAATAAATCAGAGTACTCGTTCATACATGGTACATTCATTTACCACAGAAATCTGCAGTTTCAGAGCAGCAGTCGGCAGATAATGGTATGGAGACTGTGTGGTGAACATTTGTTCACGAGTAGAGAGAGCCCAAATGACCCACCAACCAATATACCAGAGAAAAATGACTGCCACTCGGTTCAATCAGGGTTGTATCATGTGATTTTAAGGCCCTCGGCGTGCACTTTTTAGGAGATGAAGAATACTCGAATACTCGAATATTCGATCGGAGAAAATCAGAGTACTCGAACTCGGGATCTCAATGCCAACTTTTACCCCTATTGGAGACGTGCTTTTATTTTTTTCAACCAATACATGATTATGCATACATACAGAACGAGAATAAATACATGCTAGATATCATGCATGCAGCATTGTGCGCTTTCGATTACACGCATTTCGGTCAATTCTAGAATTAGTTATTGTTGATGCACAGTTCGATTACACAAAAAGTGACAAATTCCGTCGTTAGAATTGATTTTATCCAATTCCGTCGAATCCGTCAATTCTGAAGAGAGGGCGGAATTTCTCTAATTCTGGCGCCAGAAATGCACAGTCGGTGTGTTACCGGTCTGGTCATGACTCAAGCGCGCGAAGAGCCTCCCTAGCCCTGGCCGGCGTGTGCGCGATGCTGGGTCCACGTGCGAGCAAAGGTGTACGTGATCTCTTTTTACGATTCATCAATTTTGTTTGTGACATGACATGAATCAAATGCGTTGTGAATTCCAGTCGTTCGTTTACAAGGCCGGAATCCACTCATTCTGGTCATTCCAGAATTTAAAGAAAACCAGTTCCAGAATTGTGTAAACGTGTAATCGAAAGCACCCATTGATTCCACCAAGACCGTGCTAATAATAGAGACTGTGCGTATAATGTTTCGAAAGGTGCTCACAGTGTGCTAGTATTAGAGACTGTGCTAGTAATGGAGACCTCTGCTTATAATAGATAGAGAATATACGGTATGTACATGTCAGTGAAATTCCAAATTCATCCATAAAAGGCATTTCTGAACGCATTTTGTCCATAATAATTATGAATGTTTTGTCCTCATTTTCTTCAGAATATTTGAATTATATGCTGGCTTCATTCCAATATTCCCTTTGTCGCTCAATATGCCAATATGAACTGTCTCACAAAATATGCGGAAATATGCGCAAGCATATTTGGTCGAGGCCTAGTGCAACTCTGCATTATGGGGTCTGCCATGATCATGCTGGCGAGATGCATACGTCCAGCGGGTTTCTGTCAGAGAGTACTTTTTTTAGCACTCCACTGCTCGCTAAAACCGGGCTGGACATGTACACCTCACTGGATCACTAGACTACAGCATGTGATGTGAGTTTTAGCCATCGGCAAACCCCATAGAAAGGGTAAAGTAAAACCTGTAGAGGAGACCACACTCATAAGGCGACCACCTGTCCCAGAAGACCATTACAACCAGGATCAAGCGATGCTATTCTCAGTCAAATGACCCTGGATAAGGAGACCACCTGGTAACCAAGACAACATTTTGAAGGTCCCTTGAGCGGTCGGCTTAGACAGGGTTCACTGTACTATCATTCACATTCATTAGTTACATTGGAATGCGGAAGTGCACACGCGTGCGTACAGGAGTTCTATTCAGATCTGATTGTGTTGTCAAGCCGTAGTCCGACAGTGCCGCTGCACCCGTTGTGAACGTGCGTGCGTCGCTAGCGCTGCACTGTCGTCTGACAGTCTTGTCTCAGGCTGGACGGCTCAGGTTGTCTTGACATCTCTTGCTGGCTGCTGTCGGATTTTGACTTCTGATGACTGCTCAGTGCTCTGAGTGTGCATGATCAGTGCAGTATGACAGAAGTCAGTCTGCAGACTGCTACTGGAGGAAACGTGATTTGCCAGCTGCATGGCTGGCTTGAGCCATACTGCAGATTAGGCACTGCTTCAAGCGTTTCTGTGAATGCATGCATGATCTGCATGTATGCACACTGACTCAGTGTACACTGGGCAGCAGCCCAGCACTGGCTGCATTATCTGTGACCTGCCCCCCCCCCCCTGCATCTGGTGACTCCTGTATTGGCAAGTCACGTGGTTGATGGGTTTGATGTGTTACGTCAAAAATACACTAATAGGTATGAATACTATGACTTAGTATAAGCCAGTGTAGTAATAAGACGATCGTACGATACAAGCTGTGTCACTAGCGATCTTCATTTATACCATGTAGTTTGAAATCAAACAAGAATATTTCAGTGGCGTGTCCAGGATTTGGCCGAGGGGGGGGGGGGGGGGGGGGTTGCGGCCGGGATGGGGTGGGGGTAGCCTCAGACATCATGACTGTCCCAGGTCAGCCATTTTGAAAACCGATGTCAAGGAGCCGTAAATCTCACACACCACGAACAAATTGTATTTAAATGTACCTAGGTCGAAACTTTTGAGGGGGGGGGGGGGGGCCCAAACCCGCCACTGTATTTCGGGAACCAGGAACCTGCATGATGCAGTTGTGTGAGAATTTATTGGATTCGGATCTCCGACTCTGAGGTCAGTGAGCTCTGACAGACTCAGAGTTGGAGATCAATCCTAAACCCGCCACTGTATTTCGGGAACCAGGAACCTGCATGATGCAGTTGTGTGAGAATTTATTGGATTCGGATCTCCGACTCTGAGGTCAGTGAGCTCTGACAGACTCAGAGTTGGAGATCAATCCTAAACCCGCCACTGTATTTCGGGAACCAGGAACCTGCATGATGCAGTTGTGTGAGAATTTATTGGATTCAGATCTCCGACTCTGAGGTCAGTGAGCTCTGACAGACTCAGAGTTGGAGATCAATCCTATAAATAATTCCCACACAACTGCATCATGCAGGTACGGTTCCTGGTTCCCGAAATATTTTTGTTTGATTTCAAACTACAATAATAATAAAAATAATAATCAAAGACAAAGGCTGTCGAAACCAGCTAGATTTCCCACCCGCACTAGCAAGCGCTCGGTGTTTTTGAAGTGTGCGCGATGTTTTTTGTAACTTTTACGTTTTGGTCCTGCCAGGTTTAGCAGCAGTAACCCGCACAGGCCAGGTAGGATTCTCGCCAACAAAATGGCGACGGGCGTAGCAGGAAACTGGAGCCGATAGAAAACTCTCGCGCGCCCAGTGCAGTACCGTCATCTGGTCATGCGCCGCGGTATGCGTGGTAGATCTACTCGCTGACTATACTAGTACTAGTAGTACTCGACTATGCTATGGTTGCGTTTTTCTTGCAAACTGGCTGCGCAGTGCATCAAAAAAAAACTCGCGAAGTCGCATTCACTATGTTCACACGTAGGCGCATGCATGCTGGCTACAAAGTGCATTGTACATGTTGCGCCGCATGAGATATCGAGAGGCGAGAGGTTGGAGAAAAAATTTCGGTTGCATTTCTGCCTTGTCTGGTTCGGGACGCGTGGCACAGAATTGTAGTTTAGCTTTTTAGTAGCTGGTGATAGAGAAAGGAGAGTCGGAGAGAAGACTGAACTCTCTCTCTCTCTTTCACGATGGCCGCCTCCCGCCGCTTAGCCAAGGAGCTGTCGGACATCAGAAAGAATGAAGAGAAAGTCTTCACGGACATACAGGTAGACGAAGGCAACATGCTGCGCTGGCAGGGTCTTCTAGTGCCAGACAATCCGCCGTACAATCAGGGCGCGTTCCGAGTGGAGATAAACTTCCCGCCCGAGTACCCGTTCAAGCCGCCCAAGCTCACGTTCGTCACAAAGATCTACCACCCGAACGTGGACGAGAAGGGCCAGGTCTGCCTGCCCATCATCACCGCCGAGCACTGGAAACCAGCAACGAAGACGGACCAGGTCATCGCGGCACTAGTGGCCTTGATTCACGCTCCCGAGCCAGACCATCCTCTTCGCGGAGACCTGGCGGAGGAATACATGAAGCGGCGCCCGCAGTTCCTCAAGAATGCCGAGGACTTCACGAAAAAGTTCGGCGAGAGACGGCCATAGGTTCTGCAGTGGGGTGCGGAAGCTGAGCAGCGAGCAAGCTTTCAAGGTCTGGAACTGTTGAGATTTTCTCCTTTTTTTGCCCAATTTTTGTCTCTATATTTTTCGCTGCATGTTGTACACGTATCGGTGCTGTCGCTACGCGTTCGCTACTGCAGACACAGCCCAAGCGCTGCCGCCCGAGAAGCGATTTCGGTTGTGGTTGCTCGTGAGGCTGCTGTGGTGGCTGGTCCGGAATGCACTCACATACCCGGCTACAGTGCAGTGATGCCAGTGCTGTAGGGACAGGAAGATTGAGTGTGTCGAGTTTCTCCTGTTTTGTGTTTCTCTTCTCACACACAGACACACACACGCTCTCTCTCTCTCTCTCTCTCTCTCTCTCTCTCTCTCTCTCTCTCTCTCTCTCTCTCTCTCTCTCTCTCTCTCTCTCTCTCTCTCTCTCTCTCTCTCTCTCTCTCTCTCTCTCTCTCTCTCTCTCTCTCTCTCTCTCTCTCTCTCTCTTTCTTATTGTAATGTTGGCGCGCCACGCTGTGAAACGTGGTCTTGCGCTCGGCTGTCAAAATATACATGGGCTCCGCTGCTGCTGCTGCTGCTGTTGCGCATGGCCTTTACCAGACCTGCGTGACACGAACTTTCACGTCGCCGCCTTCTGCGCTTGTGTATAGCAGCTAAGTACGCGCACACATGCGACGCCTCCGTGTGTTTGCATGCATGTGTACGTGCATGCACACACCCTGGATCCTGCTTGCTCCGCTTTTGCGTCCGCCGGCATATTGGCGCGTGTGCGTGTGCTCCTTTTGTAACACGTGTACACAATTTTGCTTTTAGCGTGCGCCGAAAACGTGCACATCTGTCCATATTTGGCAAATATTCCTGTACAGCTTTTAATCTAAATAGGTGGCACATTTTTTGTGTCAATTCTCTTTTGCTTTGAGGCGAGCGCCACCAGTGCCATAATGTTCTCGACCCCACTCCCCCGCCCAAGCGTTCGTTTACTTTTTCCCGGTCATTTTTTCTGTTGGTGTGGAGGTGGCTATTTTTGTGCTACGTTATGTGCTCGATCACTGTATTGTTCATCTCTCGAGTCTCTGTTGCCTCCGTGCATGTGTTCGAATACGGACTGACGGGAGGGAGGGGAGGGAAGGGGGTCGTATATGCGGCCAACCGTTCTGCGTTTCGTTTCTCATGCGCGGACGGTTGGCTGTCGCGAGTCCTTCCACGTTGTGATGCGGGTGACGCATGCATTCGTCGTGAATTGCACGGTCAACGGGTAGACGAGGTGTGTGGGTGGAGTGGGTGGGTGTTTGTGAGTGTGCGTGGGTGGGTGTTTGTGAGTGTGGGTGGAGTGGGTAGCTGTTTGTGCGTGGGTGTGGGTGGAGTGGGTAGCTGTTTGTGCACCAACAGAATTTTACCTCCGGCCTTTTGCTTGCTGGTCACTCTAAGCTACCACTGTGGTTCACTTCGCCCGGGGCTTTCTATGTCATTTGTCCCAAAGCGTTCTGGTCTCCTTTGTTTGAGTCTATATTCCCCATTTCCTTTCTGGGTGAGCCCATTGCCAATGGCGTCCCATTTTTAGAAGGACAATTTTTTTGACCTTTTCCAACAAGAACCTCCGCGTTGTGCTCTGTGCGGGAGAGAGTGTGGGTGGATTGTGGGTGAATGAATCCACACACGTGTTGTGCGTGCTCCAGTACTTGCGTGTGCTACAGTCGTGGCCGAAGAAAATCCGAGCCGTGAGCCAAAAGCAGCGCTCCAAGGTTCATGCAGCCCTCGGAAGGGGCTTGGGACCGGGTATGAGGTAATTGAAATAGAACGTAAAACAGGAAAAACCTATTCTTGTTCTTGTCACTCCTAGTGTATTAATCATGTTACTATTTTTTGATATTACCTTCAGTCACGAGTTTCCATTGGTAATTGTGGCAAAACGTTCTGGAACCCTTCAATACATCTGCTTCGTTTATTCCTTACTCTTTTCTTTCTTTCTTTTTCTTTTCTTTCCCTTGTCATGTAATCACGGTCACTAACATACAAATATCACAGGGTACCTCACTTCAAACTCTCCAACTACGGTCTCTTCGCTGCATAAGTTCACTTCACTTCCAAAAACATATATATATAATATATTAGACAGTTGTCTAAAGTCCCTAGGCTGCTTACAGTGCTCAATGTCCACTGGACAGAGCAAGTAAAAAAATGCTGTCTGATGAAGTGTCTTGACACGAAACTCGGAGAAACAGCGGAATGAGACTTGTTTGATTCATTGCTGTGTAATATTTGTATATATATATTACACTGTTGTGAATTCCAGCAGAAATCCAAGAGAGCTCGATACCGGGAAGGTAGAGCCGTAACACACTAGTCAGAACAACAGATGGCTTGATCAGTCACAACTTAAAGTTTCATGCCATCTCAGGCACTCATCAGGTGATATGAACATCAAGAAAAATAACCCACTATTTAAAGCCCAGTATGGCGGGACAAGGATAACAGAAAGCGCTAGGGGCGCTATCAACTCATATCCGATTCAGTGTCATAGCCAGGAAGGATCGCGGTACTAAGGTGATAAAGGTGATAAAACCGAGCTGGCCTAGCTAGTGAGTTGCGCGGTGCAAAGATGATGATGGTGACAAGGCGGCAGAGAGCTATCAACTGGCCCTACTGCCTGGAAGCAGGGTGCCGAGAAGATCATGTTATCGGTGTTGACAGCATGAATTTATTTTGATGTCGACATTTGGATATCAACTCCGACCGCTTGTTGAGGCTCGATCTCCTGTCGGCAGTCGGCAGAGGAAGTCCATTATCGAAGTATTCAAGCAGTATGATCTAAAAACTACTATCGACGTTAATCTTTCGACAGTGAATTTCCTAGACATCACGCTCAGCCTCGACACCGGGAAATTCCAGCCGTATCGTAAACCTGGAGACGCACCTCTCTACGTCAACGCCATGTCCAATCACCCACCATCCATACTACGGAACATCCCTGATATGATCGCTCGACGTGTCTCAAGCATATCTGCCGACAGCGGCGTATTCGCCGATGCTGCCCCTACATATCGCAATGCATTAGCGGCCAGCGGATTACCTGCCAACATCAAGTACATTGACCCAACGCCACCTGCTGCAATGAACGGCAGCAAGCAAAAAAGAAAAAGGAAACGGAATGTGGTGTGGTTTAACCCGCCATACTCCAAGAGTGTCCGGACCAACATCGCCGGCACCTTCCTTCGGCTGATCGACAAGCATTTTCCTAAGGGGTCCAAAATGAACAAAATCTTCAACCGCTTCAATGTGAAGGTGAGCTACTCCTGTTTGCCGAATATGGCCCACATTATCAGTGGCCACAATAAGCGTCAAGTGTGCGTCCAGGAACCGGACAAGCCGTGCAACTGCCGTCGCAAGGACCAGTGCCCTCTCAACGGAGCGTGTCAAGCAACCAGCATAGTCTACGCGGCGGAGGTGTCGAGTGATGGCCACAGCGATGGGCCCAAAACCTACATTGGCAGTACGGAGCCTCCATTCAAGCTTCGATACGGGAACCACAAGACATCCATCAAGCTTCCTGGATACCGCAAATCCACGGGCCTCTCAAAGCATGTGTGGGAATTAAAAGATAATGGCAAGACGCACGACATCAAGTGGCGAGTGGTTCAGAAGGCCAAGGCCTACAGCAACATAACAAAAAGATGCAGCCTGTGCCTCGAGGAGAAGGCGAGAATAATCACTGCCGACAGGAGATCGAGCCTCAACAAGCGGTCGGAGTTGATATCCAAATGTCGACATCAAAATAAATTCATGCTGTCAACACCGATAACATGATCTTCTCGGCACCCTGCTTCCAGGCAGTAGGGCCAGTTGATAGCTCTCTGCCGCCTTGTCACCATCATCATCTTTGCACCGCGGAACTCACTAGCTAGGCCAGCTCAGTTTTATCACCTTTATCACCTTAGTACCGCGATCCTAACTGGCTATGACACTGAATCGGATATGAGTTGATAGCGCCCCTAGCGCTTTCTGTTATCCTTGTCCCGCCATACTGGGCTTTAAATAGTGGGTTATTTTTCTTGATGTTCATATCACCTGATGAGTGCCTGAGATGGCATGAAACTTTAAGTTGTGACTGATCAAGCCATCTGTTGTTCTGACTAGTGTATATATATATATATTAGATATAAAAGGAATGCACCATGCATTCCATTATATAATATTTTTTTGGAAGTGAAGTGAACTTATGCAGCGAAGAGACTGTAGTTGGAGAGTTTGAAGTGAGGTACCCTGTAATATGTGAGTGGCTGCAATGGAGTCTGCGAGTGCTTAGAAAAACATACAAATACCGTCGTAAAATATAAAACACAGGTTTTCCTCATCTTTTTCTATTTCTTGTTTTTCATTAGCTTCAGCATGTTCATTCACATTCTTCATCATTTGTGAGAACTAGACCTGGTCTAGTGAGAAGGCATTCTACTGCCTGTAATTCTGGTGAGGTGAAATAAAGTAACAACAACAACAACAATTGTTGCTATGATTGTGATATGAGGGCGTATACAGTTTTATTCCGGCATTGCTTTAATTTTGGGGGGAGGGGGGGTCGGGGGGGGGGGGGGAGGGGGGGGGGGGGGAGGGGTCGGATTTGTGTGACCATGGCTGTAGTTTCAAGCACGCTAGTGTGCACACACATGGGCAATCTGTTGTTGTGATGGTTTCGGCCCTTTCGAACTCGTCGTGCTATCTCGGACCCCGGGCCTTGAGCTGGCCCATATGACTATGTGCCCAGCATGTAGAGGGAGATTTTTTTGCACCTTTGGCTATTTTGCATTGCTGCTCAATGAAATGGGATCAAGTGAGTGAGTTTTGTTCAGTGCTCCAGTGACCATTCCAATGCTGGTAGATCTGGGGTGCCCGGACCGTACCCGACTCTTGCGATCGGATTTGGATTACTTTGAAGTATATGGAGCAGCACCGTACTTCCCCGGGAGTAGCCCGCATATGCAAGATGGTACAGTCAGACCTCGCCGCACAACCGCACACATCCGTTTTGCACAAACATATGCAGATACTAGTATGCGCGGGGGAACCGGATAATCGAACACACATACTGTATGTATGCATGGCATATGCTCATATGCTGTATATCTGTGACCAACGATTTTCTTCCGGATGGCGAGGGATCCGGATAAAAGAGGACCGGATAAGCGAGGTCTGACTGTAAAATAGCTTGAGAGGGACGCCCGACACACAACGGTCAGTACAGTATTGACTATAGCACGTGTTGCCCCGAGTACGCCATGAAGCAATGAAAAGCACTGTTGTTTTTGGGCTCTAAATTTCGAAAGCTCTCAGCAGACCCCCTCCCCCCCCCCCCGCACGGGTCACCCCGACGCGAGTAAATAATACTTGTGCTTCAGATGGCTGACCGTGCTACCCTGAAATGCGTTCCGACGCCCCTGCTATGCCTACATAGAGACACAGAGGTTACTAGTAGGCGATTGTATGATCAGTTGAGATGCTTTGGCAAAGTCACGGCACGGCGATGCACTAGCGACTCACTAGCGGCTCACTAGCGGCTCTTGCTGTATGTACATAGCGCCCCATGAGCGGTTTCGCTGGCTCGCGCAGCATACATAGCGCCTATAACTGGTTCCGCTGACTCACCGCCACAGCACCATTCGCAGAACCTATATAGGAAAATCTTCTAGAATGTTTTTCATTGACCTCTTCCCGTCCCTAACGACGGGTTTATTTAAGGTTTGAGAAGGTAACCAGCGAAGGCATGGATGCAGCGAATGGGATTTTTGGTCTTTGACCACTTTGTGGTGGGTCTGATCTACTCACCTCCCACCGCTATAGGAGCTGCATCTGCGCTTTGATCCTTCAAGGCTGGTGGTGTTCCTATGGATACGGATGCGAAAAACATGGCCTCCAGCCAAGTCTCAAGCGAACCGTGATTGTTTTAAAGTAACCAACGCCGCATGATGTTTGCTGTGTGTGCTGGTGTGTGTGTGTGTCCGTGTGTGTGTGTGTGTGTGTTTGCTGTGTGATTCTGTGTACACAGAGGACGACAGCCAGGGCAAACACTGACCGAACACAGACAATACCGGCCTCGCCACTTCCACTGTCACCTGCTGGACCCGGACGGCGTAGTCATGGTAACGATGGTGACTTTGGTGGCGGCTTCGGCAATGGAGGCCATGTTGACGACAGCGTGCTGTGTCCGGACGAGGCGATTGCTATGAGCGGCAATGCCACCGAGTCCGAGAGTACGGATGATTCGTTCCCAGGTATGTAGTGTTCTTTGTGTGATAACCACATGCTGTACATGCTCTGTTTTTGTTCTTTCTACATTTCTCCAAGGTTGACAGCTGCTCTATTCAGTTGTTTCTCATTCATTGCACTGAGCTACTCGAAGTTTTATTTTTAACGAGGCAAAATTGTGGTATTAAATTTTAGGATCAGTCACTTAACCCTATGTGTTGCCTTTATAAATGTAAACACTGTCTCTTGCTCCCTTGCACACACACACGCATGTGCACATGCACATGCACACACACACACACACACACACACACACACACACACACACACACACCAGCACACACACACACACCGGCACACACACACACACACACACACACACACACACACACACACTCTCTCTCTCTCTCTCTCTCTCTCTCTCTCTCTCTCTTCTCTCTCTCTCTCTAGCTCCCTTACTCACCCACTCACTCAAACTACAATGTGGCTGTGTTCTGCTCTGTTGGTCCAGGTGGTGCAAGACGATTCTGGTCAGCGACCAGCGGTTGGGTCAATAGCCCCCGGGTCGGGGAACAGCAGCCTCATGTCCCGGACCGATGGCAAGCAGCCGAAATAGTCCGCCAGGAAGAGCAACGCTCTGCTGTGTCCAGGTAATCTTCAGTAGCCAGGAACATGGATGGAGGCGGGGGGGGGGGGGGGGGGGGCAGAGTCAGAGACAGAGGCAGGGACAGAGGCAGGGACAGAGGCGGGGATAGAGGCAGGGAGAGAGGCAGGGACAGACACAGGGGCAGAGACAGGGACAGACACAGGGGCAGAGACAGGAGCAAGGGTGGGGACGGAGACGGGACAGGGAATTCATCAGGCCCGTATTCCGTTCACTCTTGATAGTCTGAGCTCCCAAAGCAATTATGGCCAAGCAACCACACAATCTTGTAGAACTCTTGCTTGTCAAACCCAACACTATGGCAGAATGGACTCGGTTGGAGAGCCAAGGATTAATTTATAGAAAAGAAAAATGGACCAAGGAACTACAAGTTACGCTATAATGTCCACTAACACCACTGAGCATGAGCTGATTGTTTAGTAACTGGTGGTGTTAGTGGACATTATAGCGTAACTTGTAGTTCCTTGGTCCATTTTTCTATGGCAGAATTTCCATGTGTTTCCAGGCACATTTCGATGATTGGGTGGGTCACTGAAGAAACTGAAGATCATTCAAACAGTTGTGTTCTAAGCCGGGAAATGTAACGAAGCTGTTGGTGTTTGCGGTTGCTCGTCTACACTATGTAATGTCTTCAGTCCAGTCAGATGTAGCCTCTCGCTGGCTTTTGAAAGACCGGTATCCCCCCTCACCCATGCTTACACGTACCTTTGCTCTCCTATTGAAATTGGTGCTTGTTGGAGATGAAACCGTGACTCATGATTACAGACACTAGTGGCTATGTAGTCCGCTTTACAATCCACGGAGTGTATTGTAACGTTCAAGATAAGTTTGGATGCAGCTTCATGTAAAAAGCAAATACGCCCCAACTCACACTGACACATCAGTATCAACCAACCAACCCCCTACCCCCACCCCGCCGACCAACCCACACTGACACATCTATCAACAAACCAGCCAACCACCCCCTCCCCCCCCCCCCCCCCCCCCAACCCACCAACCAGCCAACTACCCCCCACCCACCCACAGCCCCACCCTGCCGACCCATCCCAACCCACACTGACACATCTATCAACAAACCAGCCAACCCCCCCCCCCCCCCCCAACCCACCAACCAGCCAACTACCCCCCCCCCCCCCCCCCCACCCTGGCGACCCATCCCAACCCACACTGACACATCTATCAACCAACCAGCCAACCAACCCCCTACCCCCACCCCGTCGACCCACCCCAACCCCGCCGTGACCCACCCCAACCCCGCCGTGACCCACCCCAACCCCGCCGTGACCCACCCCAACCCCGCCATGACCCACTCCAACCCACACTGACACATCTATCAACCTACCAACCTACCAACCAACCAACCAACACACTCGACAACAACGCCCATGTCAACCTCCATGTAAAATCCCCTCCTCCAATTTCTTTTTTTCTTTAATTCCTGTGCGTGTGTTCCAGGGAGCGATATGTTGCAGCTGTTCGTGGTCTCTTTCTTTCGGCTGATCAGTCGGAATTGGTCGGAGAAGACGACGGACATCAACAAACTGCCGCGGCAGCGGCGGATGATGGTGTACACCAGCATGCCACAAAGCTCCCACGGGTGTCGTTGTTACGCGAACCGCTGCAAGAGCCGCCTCCGTCATGGACGGTTCCCGGCGTGCTGCTCCCTCCGCTCTCCTCAGCACACTCGCTACACGTCGATGGCATGCCCGTCAGCCGGGATGCCGTGCGCCGGGCCGTCGTGGAGTCGCTATGTCAACGGGACGCCGAGCGGCGCAGGCTGCGTCTGCACGTCGCGCTGTCCACGCCTC